AACAACAACAACATATTTGTTAAGGAGCTCTGGTGGTGTAGTGCCTAAGGCATTTGACTGCCAACCTTCTGGCAGTCAAACCCACCAGTCACTCTGTGGAAGGAAGATGGGGCAGTCTACTTCCATAAAGATTTACCACCTCAGAAACCCAATGGGGGTTGTTATGAGTCAGAGTCAACTCGATGGCTGTGAGTTTATATTTGTTAACAGATGGTTATGTTTGTCTTTCCTCAGGTTAAGACTACCTCCATGGCTAAAGACAGAGATTCCCATAGGGAAAAATTACAATAAGCTGAAAAATACGTTGCGGAATTTAAATCTTCATACAGTAAGTGTGTTAAAGTGTTACCCATCTCTCTTAACCAAAAGCCATAGTGCTTCTAAGTATATGTAACTTAAAAGTTAATATTAAATAAGTAAATAACAAAGCAGGGAAATTGAGTAAAAGTATTCAGTGCTCTATTACTATCAGTAATGGAAATACATTTTAATCATTTTCCCTGTAAAAGAGAGAAGATAATTGTACTTATTTATCTCTCATTTAGGAGCTCTGGTGGCGTAGTGCCTAAGGCATTTGACTGCTAACTAGGAGGCTGGCGATTCAAACCTACCAGCCACTTCTCAGAAGGAGGATGGGGCAATCTACTTCCGTAGTGATCCTGCCTCTGAAATCCAAGGAGGGGTTGCTATGAGTCGGATCTGACTCAACAGTGAATTTGGTTTTCTTTTTTTTAATCTCTCATTTAATAGCTCAAAACAAGATTTATTTTTTTTCCCTGCAATTTTGATAAAAAGTTTGTTGTTGTTCTTAATTTGCTTTATATTATAAATGAAATGCATACTTATTGAACATGAAAGTACATCATATAAACAAATTCAAATGTTAACCACACCACATTAGTGGTTCAGACTTATAGACCTTTTTATCTGCACATATAGAATGTATACATTCTTATAAACTTTTAATTTAAAAATGGAATAATCCTGATATACATATGATTTGGCAGTTTAACAGCATTTTTTT